ATGGGCTGAATTGCACAAAACGCATGATCGCACCGGCTAGCCTGGTGCGCGTTGCCATTTATTTCAAATTATCACTGGGAATCTTCGCTTCTGAATTGCATAGCTCAAATTAGTACGCAACTTCTTCGGGGACCACTCGAATGGAAATTTTCTTTCTTGCAGCTGCCATTCACTGAAATACTCAAAATCAGACAGACGAGGGAGGGGGAAGGTGATGGACCGGTAGAGGTACTAGTGCTACAAAAGTCTGCGCCTAAAGTTAAAACTGAAGAAAACTCTCTACCGCAACCCCCATTGTCCACCCTCTGAAGCCTCACTCCCTGCCCCTCTCCCCCCGTCCTCCTCCAAGAAGGCTGTCCTGAATCCGTCTATGTTCACTGATAGTGGCGTCAAAGTTTATCAGCAAGACAAACAGCGAATTTTACATTTCCCCACGGATGCAATGATATCCTGCAAACCTAATCCGTATAATTACTTTGCTTATTGCTTCCAGTATTACAGCTCTCCAAGAAGATGGCAATTGTGCCACAACAAGCATTTCCTTTGAACGAAACTGCATTCCCGCTGGGCAGTCTCACTCAGAAAACACTGAATTTTGACAGTAAACGCCGCATACCAGTGATCGAATTGAGTATCTTGGATTGCACCGCTGAAGAACTGAACGCACTGCTACGGGAAGCCTGGAAACGACGACGATTCGGATCGATGTATGCGACAAAACTCGTTCAAACAATTTCTAATCCTTCCTCCTAAAAAATCGAATCGGAATTGATTGCGTAATGCGTGATCAATTATAGTTTTTGGTGGAATTAGAAGTGCAGCACTGGTATGAGATAACAATATGAGAGGAGAAAATAAGAATGGGATAAGACGTTTCGGTCCATTAAGTCATATACGTCTTAACTCAACACAGCGACAGGACCTTGTCAGTAGTAAATTAAGTATGTTTTCGACCCAACTCCGGAAACACTGAAGTTTAAAAAAAGGAGGGATTAGAGCACTGATACTTTTTTATAAAGTGAAACCAGGGACATGTATTGTTACATGTACTGTTACGGTCAGGGGCACGTAGTCTA